AAATGTTTTATCAGTTCGTGTGTTTGAAAGTGTAAGTTTGGTTTGGGCTAACGGTTGAATGATATTTCTGGACTTTAAAAGTCCAAGACCCAAGTGAACGATTGATGTGGCTCGTAATATAAGTTTATTTCTTTTAACCATGATAGCGATTTTAAAATTTTAAGGTTTCTTCTTTTCTATCATGGTTAATCATTCGAATAGATTGAAAATTTTGATTAAAATGGGTTTTAAAAGAATGGTTGTCACAGAAACATTCTTGCCTTTGCTTTCCATTAAAATATTTAATAATATTCATTTTTAAGTGACTTTCCTGAATTCCTTCTATCGGTCCATAAGTTTGAGAATTTGTCTTTGGGTACCATTACTACCTGTTTATCATGGGGAATTTTTCTAATTTTTTTAAAGTCAAAAGTCAACTCATAAATAGTTTATTTTGACTTTCCTCAGATAGTGTATAAATAGGTTTTAAATTCTATTAAAGCTAACCTATTCACTTTTTCAAGACGAAATTATTTTTAAAACCTATAATAATTTCTCAAGTATTATTTCCTATTTTTCTCTAATTATCTAGGACCTCCACATATTTTAAATAATTCAATTTTGGCTAACATTCACAATTAGCCAAAACCCTAGGATTCCATCAATTCCTTCCTAGGGATATTTTTGTCATTTTAGCCTTGTACGGGTCTCTAGACCTCATTCCTATTTTTCTGAAATTTTTTTCTGGAGTATTCAAGTCTACTTTCCATCATTGCCCCTTTTGGCATGAAACTTCATAAAATTATGATTTTGCCCTCGGTTCAACTTAATCCCATAATTCACCTTATTGAAACCTTTAACATAACATTTGGCCGATATTTCTCTCGATTATTTATTTTCAGGCCTCGAGACTTTACCAGAGTCTCTAACTTTATTTATATTTATTTATATTTTAGTCCCTAAAACTTTCTTAATTTGCAATTTAGTCCCTGAAAATCCTTTAACCTTCTTTTTACATTTTCGAAACTTTGGCTTATAGGGACTTAGTAGCTTGCCCATTTTAGACTATTTCCTGAGTTCTTAGGCCCAAAATCTAGGATGTTACACTAATCCCAAAGGTTAAAGGTTATGGATATCCACATATGTAATATTTATATGTTTATAATAGTTTTTTGGGTTTATAGTTAATTTTTAGCATGTTTAGGAGCGTTTGGATATTTTTCAAAAAAAAAAAAAAACATGATTTTGGCTTAAAAATCATGAATGGAAAAGTGGGTGAAAAAGTCAAATGAGGGGGCAATGTTATCATTACATGGGATTGCTTTCACACTACACAAGATCGAATGCGGTGAGTAATGGATGAAATAATGAAAGGTCTCTCACTTCAAAGAAAAAAAGGCCTGCCGCCCACCACGTTAAGGTAGAACTATTACGGGTTTGATTTAAATATTAGACTTGAGTCAAAATTTAGGTAAAACTCTTAATCGCATTATAATTAAAATATATATGGTTGGAAAATTTCAACACAGAGGTAGAATTTACTTTTCCAATTATTAATTTTATAAAAACTTGTATCATCATCTACTAATATGAACATATCTTTATGAATGTTTGTTTTTAACTTATTTTAAGTAAAATCATATACCATACGAGATAAATATATGAGAGAAGTTTTATCTCGTTAAACATAAAAATTATTATTTTTGGGTGTTTTCAATTTTCATAAGGTAATTGAGTAATTAAAATTTTCGTCTTCCATAATTAAGCAAAATTCAAATTCCTTTTATGTTTGTGTTATTTTATTCACTAAAAGGCATACCAAGTTGATAGATACTTTTAATCGTTAAGAGATGAAATCATAAATAGTGAATTATAAAATTTTCTCATGTAGCTAGTATTTCTTCAAAGTATGATAATAAATATTTTAGAGTTATATCCATAGTTTGTGATGTATTTGGACACACACACGTGCTTGAATTTGAATTTTTAATCTAGTATTCAAGTTTTAAAAATCTTTTGTTGGGCTGGTATACAAAGTTTCGAGTTCTAATACTTAAAAAATCTTTTGTTTAGATAATACAAAAAGTTTCAAATCCTAATATTTGTAAATCTCTTGTTTAAATTATTAAAAATATTTCAAATCATTGTAATCAATTTTTATTTTTACTATTTTTCTTTCAGTAGTTATCAACGAAAATTCCTCCTTCAATTAAATTATCCTGATCAATTTTTTTGGGAAAAAATTTAATCAGTAGGAAAAAATATAAATTTTGAATTTTAAAATTTCGAATCAGTTTTGTTTACTGCACTTTAATAGCAATTGACTATATTTAAAAAACTAAATGAAAGCATATTTTTTATAGTAATTCTAAATTTGAGATTTTTAAGTTTTAGGAGTATTTTTTGGTGATTTTTCCTAGAAAAAACTAAATAAGATTTCATATGATATAATGCACAAAAATTTTGATTTCTAATGCCAAGATCAAAATTTCATCTTTCAAAGCACTAAACCGACAACAAGAAGTGACATGGTTACACATTAGGCAGCAAATATCAAATGGGAGAAAGGCGAAGAACCATGAAGAACATGAACTGAACTAATGAAAGCCAACATAATTCTTATAATTTTTTATCTCCCTATATATAATGGATTTGGCTAAAATCCAAATATCCCTAAGCCGAACATGACATGACGTATATTTAATTGTTTTTTTTTTTCCCGTGTAACAAATCCTCCAATAACTACATTCCTGGATGATCCCCTCGGTAGCCATCTTGCTGCTATATTAGTGGATGACTCATAACCATAAAGACTTTGACTTTAGCATAGATGAAATTTAAATTCTCCATATTAAGTAGAATTGTTTTCTCTTAGATTTTTTTTCATTCTACGATTGCTGTCACATTTATACAATATTCTAGTCATCAAAGGATATAGTTCACCCAAAGAAAAAGTATAATAATAGACAAAATGTTAAGAAATATGACTATAACGACAAATCTTATAAAATAAACAAAAAAAGTATAATTCATCAATATGCCAAATTTTTTAGAATGAGCTCCCAGTGTGTCATATATTACTAGAACTTAAGATAGGAGACAACTTAATTATATTTATTGTATTATAACTTCAAAGCTAACAGTACATACTTAACTAATGGGCCAACATCGGTTATATTGTTTTTTTTTTTTGGTCAGAAACATCGGTTATATTGAGTAGAATGAATTTTATGCCCTTTAAATAAGGTCTTACATTTGGTTGTATAGTCAAACAAGGATACCACATTAGGCGACTTACCTCCCTCAATTAGGTGTTCACTGCTATAGAAATGATGATAAATGTCAGTTAAATTTGTCAACGGACAGGTACGTCATTTATTCTCTGAGACAAATATCCGAAGGTTACCAATTGTCACATATTTGAGCACATACGTGACAGTTTTAATTTACAACTATCATAGTGGGGGAAAATATGTGACAGATATGAAGTGAGGACCATCACGTTTTGTTATTAATGCATCATCATTTTTCAATTATATCCGTTCACGTATATGTCCATAGTTTTTTTATTGTGGAGTGCTGCTTTTTAAGCAATCCCCTGCATTATTATAGAAACTTGCAAAACCAATTAGTTGATTGATAAAACAACACAAAATTGTATATATATATATATATACACACACACACACAACAGTATAATATGCCATTTACAAGCAAGCTAATCAATTTCCTAATACATATACACATTAATTAATTTGTACATAAGAGTCTAATTTCTGTATATCTATATATAATAGCAAATGGCCAGAGGTTCAAAGCAATGAAAACCAAAATTTAATTTCCCAACTCCTTGTAACCTATGTATAAGAGAATTAACATATACCAAAACCAAAATCTTCTACTATAATTTAACCTATATATATATACTGTACAATGCTATCTTCTAGTCAGCCGCCAATGAAGAATTGTAGCAGGCAAATCTTGGAAGATTTCTTCAATTTGAGAATTTGAATATTCTTGGCAATATGCATCCTCAAAATACTGCATGTGAAAAAAAAAAATTCTCAAACAATTAAGTTGAAGAGCCATATCTTCAAAGTGTGTGTGTATAAAAAAAATGAGTATGTACATATATATACACCTTATTATTAGGAATGGGGGGGAGATCGTGCATGACAATGTCTTTTATGAACTTCATCACACAGTAACAATAAGTAGCATTGTCTTTGGTTGCTGCAGACACTGTAAAGGAAATTAAAATTAAATTAAACCATATCAAAGAAATAAATCACAAATATATATTTTTGCTTCAATCACCACTTAATAATGGGAAATATATACATCATCACTTTTTTTCATGGAAATTCGTGGATGACTTTGTTTAGTTCCCTGGCATGTTTGACCAATTCATCTAACTAACAAAGGATATGGTCGGCTGCAGTGCTGAAAATCTCATCTTATCTTGGGCATTTGGATGACATGGTTGAATGGCGGAAATATGAAAACATAATGAAATATAAAGTAGAAATGGCACTTAGGGTTGGGTGCTTGGGGCTTATATAGAGTTTCAAATCAATGTAATAGCTCTCAAAATTAAATTTGAATCAAATCACTGTAGAACTTCAATAGGAAGTAGCATCATGAATCATTTAAAATGACATATGGAATGGGTTGCAGTTGTGATCTGTCACATTCGTATGTATGTTTTCTCTTCTTAAAAGGTGGCAAAATTAGGTGATGATTAATATAAATAACTGACACTTATTTGTTACAAATACCAGATGGTTATTAATATGTTCGTCACATGTTTCTTAGCGTGATCCCCACCTTGCGATAGATGATTGTGCTTTGTTTCAACCATCACCTATCCAGTGACATATATTTGAAAATATGTAGTGGTGATTATTTAACAATTCTTGGATCTAAATTGATAACTAATGTTAGACATCGGTAATTATTAGCAAAATTAATTAAGTTATACAAGAAATTAAGAGTATTGTAAGATAGAATGACATTTATATAACTTTCTAGTCATAATTTTGAACTTCATTACTAATTCATAGATGCTTATATGGGTGTCATACTTATTAACGCAACGCTGATCTAATCCTAAAAGCGCATAACCATACAAATTATTATAAAATTATTAGTGGTCTAACTCTTTCCTCTTTCTAATTGGCAGTGGCGGGATGCTCTGTTCATGTCTAAAGAAATTACTTGGATCAATCTTAGATTTCACCTTCACCAACCTTATAAAATTATCCTTATAGTACTTGGATCCCCAAATTCTTGACCTCATGAAACTTGTTTTATTTAACTGGTTCATTCCCAAATCAAGGTCTCTATAATTAACATATGCCTCTCTTGGAACGCTTGAAGCAGAAGGAGCCATGGAGTAATAGATTCTCCTAATCCAATTCATATGCTTTTCCATGTTCTTCTCTCCATCAAACCATGCAGTTAAGTATTGTATCTTGAAGAGTGTTCCATTTCTGTGAGGAAAAGGGATTGAAGACTCTGGGATTTTGCTCATCATTCCTCCATATGGATTCCAAATCATGAAGGGCCCATCTTCCTGCAAAAACCTTTTCCATAGAGAGTTCAAAGCAGTTTTAGGAATTACTTGTCTTACAAAATCTGACTTAGCCTTGAAGTATGTCTTGCCAATCGATTTCCCCTGGAGAAGAATTTCTGGAGGGGTGGTGATTGGATAGCCAGCCATATAAACCACAGATTTGATCCAACTTGTTTCCAAACAGTCTTTCTTGGTTAAGCCCAATTCAGGAAACCATCTCTTCATAACTTGGAGAAGGCTATCAGCCTCGCCAAGAAATAAAGCATTATAAGAAGTTGCTATCGTTTTTTTGCCTGCAACACTAGAATTTCTTGCTTGAATCATGACTCTAATGAATAGATTTTCGTCAAGGCTTGGTGCTACTTGCTGCCATTTATAGAGAATATTGGTTGCCTTTTGTTCTAAGGTTTTAGTAACAGTAAAAACTGTCACAATAGGTGGAACTTGAACAAGCTTGATTTGCCACCATAGAATTATCCCAAAGCTTCCACCTCCTCCTCCTCTGATTGCCCAAAATAGGTCCTCTCCCATGGCTGCTCTGTCAAGAATATTGCCATCAGCATCTATGATTCGCGCATCAATGACGTTATCCGCTCCAAGGCCATACTTTCTCATCATGGTGCCATATGCCCCTCCCGTTATGTGACCACCAATGCCTAAGCTTGTGCAGATGCCAGCAGGGAAGCCATGGGCTTGACTTTTTTCTGAAATTCTATAGTAAACTTCTCCTACAGTTGCACCAGCTTGAATCCATGCTGTGTTTCGTGCTATATCGACTTGGATGGCACGGAGCTTGGAGAGATCTAAGATCATGAATGGCTTCTCAATGAGAGAAACATAAGAAAGGCCTTCATAGTCATGACCTCCACTGCGTACTCTCATGTGAATTTTGAGCATTTTTGCACAAATGACAGCGGCTTGAACATGAGAATCCTCCAATGGAGTGAATATAAAATCAGGTTTGGGCATTGAGGGCACTAAGTACCTAAGATTTTGAGCCGTGGATTCAAGTATTGAAGTGAATGAAGCATTTTTAGGAGTGTAAAAGGATGTTGAAAATGGGATTGGATTATGAGAATGTGCTGCAAGACAATGAATGAAGCTTTCTTGTATTGGAAACGGCGAAGTTGATGAAATTGAAAGTAACAGAAACACAGAAATCACCAACAAAAGCAACCTTGGAGACCCCATTGTTTTAGGATTTCACACTCTCTTGCTTCTTCTGTACAGAAAAATGCATTTAGTGCGTGCTTATATACACTAGTGCCAGAACTATTATAGTGGCCATTACGTGTAATTGAGCTAAGACAAGTGTCATCTTTAAGATATCAATGGATTTAGTGGAGAAGTTGAGATTATGACACTATGGAGTATTATGTAATGCCATTTCACAATGATTTTATTGCCACTGACTTTGTGTACCAAACTCGTATTATTTGAGTCTACGTATTTAATCTTCACTGGCAAGAAATTAAATTGCTTCTGATGGCTTTTATCTTTTTTCCCCGAAATTCGTTCTTTATGATATTGTAATGTATAGCGTAAGATTGGCCCAAGAAACAAAATAAAAGAAAGATATTTTAATGTATTAAGCCATTGATATAGGTGTATGTATAAAGCAATTCATCATTACATGAAGTAAACACTATTAAAAGAACTTTTTACGGCGGGTTTAACTAAAACCGCCATAAAAAGCTTTCAAAGTGTTTTAAAACCTACCTGTTATCGCGACTCGTCACTTTGACTTTTATCTAAGCCTTTCTACCCCGCCCCAGTCCCCCACTCCTACCCCACTCCACACCTCAAGGACAAGCAATGCAACCATCATCAATTTCCTTCAGTTTCAAGCATCCCCACCCTCTCTGTCATTGTCGCCATCGTGTTCATCATCACCATTTATGAAATTTTCTTTTTTCTTCACCATCGTTGTTCTTATTGTGATTTCTGTAGCTCATTTTGTTTGTTGTTTTTAAACTTTAATAGATGATATGGGCTACATTTTCTTCTGTTTAAGACTGGGTAATGTGTTGGCTATTTGATTTGTTCCTATTGTAGATGGTTGTTTTATGCAAATTTTGAGTAATATGGCATTGTGATTGGAACATTTTGTTGTTAAGTGGCATGAATAATTTATTTATTTGTTATGGGTATTTTTAAAATAGTGATGGAACTTTGGTTGCGAGATTATTTTTCAATGATATATTTATTTTTCATTTTTGAGATATATATTTGGTATTTTTTGTTATTTTTTTGTTTAAGCAATGTGAATATTATTTAGGAAAGTTTAAAATTAACTTAAAATTTTGGTTAAAAAGAAACTTGCATGTCAAGTTTAATAGATAACTGATTTTATTTGAGTTTTTGTTTTGAGTTCAGAACTTTTACCCTAAAAGGAGATCTTTAGAATTGTTGCGGAATGTGGCTTGTTAGCTTGGAGTTTTATATGAACAATGTGTATTTAGCTTTAAATTGTTAAAATTGGTTTGTTGCTTGCTGCTATTGATTGCATAATGATTATGTTCAAATTTTGGGATGCCTTATGTCGAAGGGGAAAACCCTGCTAAATGCTTTTTTTAAGTAAAAGGCGACTCCTTTGAGTTGTAATTAAGTATTAGGTAGTTTCATTTATTAACAAATACTTAATTATTTGATTTATTTTATTCAAATAAAGTAATATTTGAATTAAGTTGCTAGAATTGAGCTTGATAACTATGCTTATTGAGTATATAGAATAATAGATAGTAGTTAGATGAAAGTTATAAAAATTAATAAATAATATGAGGATAGGGTTGATAGATTTCTTGAAGTTGTTCAAAAAAACAAAATGCTCCTAATAAAAGTGAAAAGTTATATTCTCGTCTTTGTGTGAAGTGCTTAAACAATAGTTGGTAGAGTACTCCTCAGATAAGAGAGAACCTTATCTATGATGAGATAAATTTGAGGTACACAAATTGGATATGACATAAAAAAATTAAAAAGACTTCTTTCACTACAACAAAATGTACTTTTTACTCATTCTTGTGAAAACAGACAAGAATGAGACCCATGTTCTCGTCTGTTTTAGATTACAAATGAGAATGAAGCACTTCTCGTCTGTTTCAGAGTAATAGATGAGAAGATTCTCGTCTATTACTGGAAACAGACGAACATCTTCTGGTATGTGAAATAAAAACAGACGAGAAGATCAACTGCTTCTCATCTATTTCTATAATGACAAACGAGAAGGAGCTTGAATGTTTAAAAAAAAATATTGCCCTCCACCGGCTCGCTATCCTCATAATGTTCCAGCTCTCCCTCTCCCAAAATTCCAGCTCCCGCGAACTCTTAGCTCGGTCTTTCCCTCCCTCCCATTCTAACTCCAGCTTTGCACATCCAGCTCGTCCTTGTATTAGATCCCCCAGCTCGTCCAGTTGCATCAGGTCCACAGCATCCAGCTCGTGCTGCAGCTCCAGGTCGTCCAACTTCAGCTCATTGTAGCTTGCACAGCTGGAAGTAAAATGTGTTTCTCCGCCTTTTCAACTCGGCATCCCCATTGAAGAAAGTAGCTCACCGTCAAAGCCAGCTGCGTCCTCTCTTCTCCTCTCCAAGTCGACACATTTCTCCATTTCATGTAAGTTGAAGAGCAAACTTTTGGTTTCTATATGTTTTGCAAATGGATGGGTTTGTGTTTAAACTGCTGCCTAATTCTCGAATTACATTTAGAAGGTTTTAAACTTGATTGGGTAGTGGATTTGAAGATTACAAAGTTTGCTTAACTTGTTTGAATATTGATGTACACAAGGTGTTTGTCAAAATACATAAGAGAGGATTTTCATATATTGGCATTACATTAGAATGTTTATATAGTTATGATGATCTTGAGAGGTTAATTTAATAGCAAGTTGATATTTTTTTTTTGAATGTTTTATCTTAAAAGGAACTGTAGGGAAATTTTTTTCCCAAAATGAGTAGACATGAAAATTTTGGTTGGGATTGTAAAGTTGAAAATTTTGATAAGTTTTTGATATTTTGGATTGCTTTAAATTGTTGGATTACATAATTGAGCCTAAGTAATAAGATGAATTGTTATCCTTATTAATTATTTGGCAATGAATTAGCAACTACTCGATATATCCCTCTCCATATATAATATTTAATAGTCTTCCAAATGTATAAAATGAACACTGTTTTTATATGTTTCTTACCTTCGATGCTTGCCTTTGACTGCAACTTAATTATCACCAATTATCACCAGTTATTAATATTACTTAAACATTAATTTGATCACTTGAATGGTGAAGGAAAAATAATTTAAGCTCTTTATAATTACGCATTTTAAGAAAAAAGACAAAAAAAAAAACCTACATATCTATGATTGGTTTACTTTTTGTTTGTGGTGGGAATGATGAGGATTGAGTTGAATTAAATTAGTGAATTGAGTTGGATTGCTTGATTTTGTTGGAATTTATGACTAAGTTGGTGTATTTAGTTTTGAATTGGTTTGATTTTGTTGGAATTTGACTAAATTGTATTAAATTGACATCATTAGTTTTGAATTGTTTATGGCCTTTTTTTAAATTGAGTTGAATTAGTCCTCAATTATTGAAAATTCCTTATTGGATATATGTTAGCTGAAAATATTGATTAGTTTAAATGTTAGACTATTTTCATCTTGATGAAAAGTGGCTGTTGTGGCTATATGGGAAGTGGTATTTAGGAAGTGAAATTTTTTTTAAAAAAAACGAGCACATTCACGTTTGTTTCAAAAAACAGTAGTAAATGGGAAAAGATAGATGTAAATTTACATCTATTTTGGGAAAACAGAATTTTTGCTTCTATTCAAAACAAACGTAAATAACACTATTTTTCTCCTCTGTTCGAAATAGAAATAAAAAGTGGAGTATTTTTTATGTCCCTTCTTTTCATGTCCCTCCCAAAACAAAAGTAAAAAGTCATCCAAAACAGAAGTAAAAAGTCTTCAGTGTTTGTCTAAAAAAGAGAAAGTTGTGAATAGTGACTTTAGTGATAGAATTTCGGATATGTTCCATGATGATGTTAGCGTAAAATCTTAAAATTCTAAGCCAAGGTTTAGTGATATTTAAGCCTGATTTAGGAGGAAAACAAGCTAAGTGATTAAGCCTTGTGTTGTGTGGTAAAAGTGAACATTATTGTTTGAGATTATTTGAGACATAAAAATACAAAGAATGATGATTGAAAGACATGTCTTTTAGAATTTTCATAATAATTTTGGAATTCTAAGATTTTAAAGAGTCAAACAATAATATTTCTTACTAATTTGTTTTTGTATTTGAAAGTAGACACTTTAACCTTCCTAATGAATTCTAAGTTACAAATTTTGAAATGTATAGAATTAGTTATGAATTTTGGAAGCTGGGCGACCTTGTTATCTATAATATTTTGAGCAGTTTTAGTAAATTATCATTTTCAAAATGCCAATGATAATATTTTTTTAATGATTGTTTTCTCATTAGAAACTAGACATCTCAAGATTTCCAAAGAATCATAATGTGTAACTTTCAGAGATATATGAAATTAGTTATGAATTTTGGAAATTGTGCCACCCTGTCTATGTCGTTAGCTGCAACCAAAGGAGCCATTTGACACGGCGAATGTGCAAAATCTGTTATAAATAGGACGTAAAAGCACAAAAAAAAAAAAGAGTAGAGTTTTGGTAAGGTGGTGACTTAGGCTTAGCTAAGGCCTTGATTTCCAACCTAACTTGAGCCCAGCTAAGGCTTTGATTTCCAACCTAAGGGGAGTATTTTTAAGTTCTTAACACCTAAGTAAATAGTTCTAATCTCTTTTTTTTTTACCAACCTTTCTTAGTTTTTTAGATTTAAATTTTTAGAAATCTTGGTTTTGAGTGGAATTTCAAAATGGGTTGAAGTCTCAGAAAGAGTTATTGGGACTAGAATAAGTGTTTAATCGGTTTAATTTTTGTTGAAATTCATTTTTGTAAAGATTTGAGCTAGGGTTTGGTTCTTGAATTGGGATTTTTATTATTTATGATTATGTGATGATTGAAATTGAGGTTTAAAGATTGGTGATCGTACCAGGATGTCACCTTTCCGGATCGTGAAAATTGTGATTGCACCAGATAATGTAGTATAGGGTTCAACTAATCGTTCTTATCGAGGAGTGCTTTATTGGAAAACAACCTAGTCTAAATTGGTAATAAAAAACATGATGATTTGGGTAAAGAAAATGGGGGTTTTCAACT